TGGAGATGATAATGAAGTTCAATACCATGTCTTAATTTTTCTCATTATTTATTTATTTGTTTTTAATGTTCAGCTGCTTGAAAGGTGTAAAAATATTGATGTGGAAGAGTATGATCGAATGAAGAATCTTGTGAGGGATATGCAGGTTGGTTGAAGATGATATCATTTGTTGGTGATTAGCCTGTTGACTTATTGTCTGCATTTCATTTGTAACATGTTCATCACTAGTTACTATCAAGTTATAATTAGATTTAGTATTTCACGCAAAAAAAAAAACGATCTAGTATTCTCTTAGCCTTCTGTCTCTTGATATTTAGTGTGTCAATTGTTATTCCTCTTTCTCTTAAGCCTGGATGTGTCTTACTCTCTTGAAAATGATTCTGCCATAACAATATTTGGATGTTAATCAAGTTGCTGGTAGCACGTGGTTACTGCCTGAATTTCTTTGAAATTAATGTGAATATCAGCATAGGAGGGGAGCAATAATAGTTTCATTGATTTTGGCAAAGCTTACTTGTTATCGTATTTTTTCTTTGTAAGCTTGCATTTAGAAGTTTGAAGTGAGCATCCCTTTTTGCAAAGCACAGGTAAGTTTTAATTGATACTTTCATGGCCTTCTTCAGAAAGCTGATGGTGGCGTAACTTTTAGAAGGCCATTCTTCATCACATAAACTCAGATTTTGCAAGTTTTAACATGTTTGATTCGTCTAGTGAGCAGTTATGTGTCTAATCGCTAGTTTTAATATATATTGCTTCCTAATTGCAATAAACTTAAATAATATTTTTGGAATTAGAAAAGAAAGAGAGTAGTAGAGAAAATCTAGAGCAAGTGTCTTGTTAAGGCTGTTTTAGTCATTTATGATCTAAATGTCATACCTGGCCGTTAGTTGTCTTTCTAATGTTATTTGTATCTCTGTTAATATGTTTTCTTTCTTTCTTTCATTTTATCAGGATAAACTAAGAGAGAAGGATGCACAGGCAGAGGAAATGGGGAAAATTCTTGTGGAAAAACATGATTTAATTTCACACCTGGAGCAGGATCTTTCTAAGTGCAGGTTGGAGCTGGAAGACAGAGAAAAGAGGATAAATGATGTTTTGCAAGTTGAGGTGTGCCATAATCTCTTGACTAAAATCTAGGAAATTTAATTTCTTCCCTTTAAATATATTTAATCTGATATGGTTTGTATAACAGGCTTCCCTAAAGCTGGATTTGGAAAGACACAAGAAAATGCTGGCTCAATTCAAGGTTTTTGTGCATTCTCATTTGGAAATTTAGTAGTGCTTGTGATCAACTTTGTATATTCCTTTTTCATAATAGTATACTTCTATGTCCTGTAATTAGGGCGTCCTCAGTAATCTATAGATTGTTTGGCATTGCTGTTTATTCGACTGTCTCACTTAGCTTATCTGTTCATCCTTTCAGAAGAGGAACGATAGTTTGTCTAGGGAAAAGGAGGATCTAGGGAAAGAAAATCAACAACTTTCTAAGCAGCTAGAAGAAATCAAGCAAGGTAGTCTGCTTTGCCCCAGTCCCCTACAGGGGCCGCTCTAGACTTACCCTCCTCTTTTTTGCCAGATGTATACATGTTGCTTTGTTTGTTGCTGAAATGTCATTCAAAAGTCAAAACTTGATGTTGCTTATCAGGGAAGAGGTCAATCAGTGATGTAACTGGTGAGCAGGCCATGAAAGAGGAAAAGGACACCAGAATACAGGTTTGTTTAAACTTAAACTATGATTGAGAATTATTTTTCCCCTTATTTTTATTTTCAGAAAGGAGAGTGTGCCCTATCTTGACTTTCTTATTTCCTATTTTGACTAGATTTTGGAGAAACATCTGGAGAGACTGAGAGATGAATTGAAAAAGGAAAAGGAAGAGAATCGATTGGAGAAAGGAAAACGACTGAAGACTGAAAAAGCCATAAAAGACTCCTACAGCAATGTTGAACAGGTACTCCCCCCCACGCCCCTCCCGAAAAAACTCCATTTTCTTTTTGCCATTTGATTTTTTTCCATATAATTCCATGTTTTTAGATACTAATACTTTATCACTATTACCTTTGAAGCATTGAATATTCACCCTCTTGCGTAGTTGATTAGACTTGTGGAAGAATGCTGAATTAATATGGGCATAATTGAGAAATGTGGACGAGCTAATAAGAAATGTGACTGAATAGATTGGAGCGACCTTCTGACTCTAATAATCTATTTCTGTTAGACAGCCCCCCCACCCTAGACAACCGAAGGGGAAAAAAGAAACCCTCTCTCAGATAGTACCAATGTCTTTAAATTTTGTTCATGCATACCTGGCTGTTCTGCGGCTGGAAGGAACAATCATGTTTACAATTTGTTAGTAGGACTGCTCGTGATTATGAAATTATTTACCATGTGTTTCTTTCACTTGCCTTTTAAGATTCAGTTTAGTGTCCATGTGCATGTGTGTTCTCTTTTGTCTGAGAGACATGAACCTATGTCTAAAACTCTTATAATTTATGGACACTGCCATTCCGGTTTTGGTTACTTCAATGGCACTTCTTCAGTACTCAATATTGGGACATTGTGGGACTTGTTAAATGCTTTATTGTGGATTCCCCTCTAGTAGTTTGACTTCTTACCTGTGTCAGTGCCATAATTATACGTTTGTTTTCTTTTATTCCTCAATATTCCTTTCAGGAGAAAACGAAGTTTATAAATGAAATTGAGAGGCATAAGGAGGCAGTGAAACGGTTATCAGATGAAATTGAGAAGCTTAGGGTTATAACAGGGAACCTTCCCGAGGTAAGGACATAAGCTATTATTCTTTTCATTGTGAAAACTGCTAAAGTTATTTGACGTACAAGGATTATTATGTGTGATGTGTGTGCCCTTGACTCTAGTTTTCTACTTTATTTTTTGTTTCACAACAAATATTTTTATTAGTCTGTTCTTGAGATTAAACGTTTTACACACTTTTCGTAGGGAACCAATGTGGCTCAACTTCTTTCTGGGTCCAACACTGACGAGCTTGCTTCTCCTTATATATCAGCTGTTGAAAACTTTGAAAAAGAAGCTCAGTCTGTGTTTTCAGAGCTTGGAGGTCGTGTTAATCAAGGTGATGCAACTTTAATTGCTGATACTTCGGGCAGTGCTGCAGGTAATTTTGTCTTGTTGCTATAAATCATTATCATTTCGCTATGATATTGTAATTTTTATCCAACTTCATGCAGGTCCTCTGGTCCCCATCCAATCCCCTGGCATTATCTCAAACGCCCCTGGAGCAAGCAGTTTACCACCTAAAGCGACTGAAGAAAGTAAGAAAAAACCTGTTTTACCTAAAGCTAATGTTGAACCCCGTAAAACAGGAAGAAGGTTGGTCAGGCCTCGTCTCGGGAAAACCTGAGGAGCCACAAGGTGACCGAGAAATGTCAGAGGCTGAAGGATCTCAAATTGCAAGCAAGCCTGGGTCTTCAGTTGACACAGACACTCAAAGCAGTCTTTCTCAATTACCTCAATCAATGGCTCGTAAACGTGTTGCTCCTACCTCCACCTCCGAGTTACATGATGAATCAGTTGCACCTGGCGAGACTAGCTCAGATGCCGGTGCACTCTCTGTGAAGAAATCAAAGGGTTCAGATTCCCCACAGGAAAGTGCTGAAGGACAACCTGCTGCAACTCCAGAACATCCTGGCGGTCAACCACTCGCTGTAGAGTCATTTGAGGGTGGTGAGTTACTTCAAGGTCAAAATGAAGAAGCCGTTGAAGCTCAGAATGAAGAAGGCGAGGTTATTGTTGAGAAAGTTGAGTCCAAAGATCCGCAGAATGTAGATAGTGCGATTCAGGAAGAATCACAAGGGGACAAAAACAGCATTTTAGAGGAGAATTTGGATCAAACGGTTGAGTCAAAAGTGACTTCTGATGATATGCAGAGAGATCAGGGGGAGCCAGACAACCAGCAATCAGCAATGGAAATTGAGAGTGAGAAAGAAGAGGGAGAATTGTTACCAGAGGGTGCAGATGTTGAGGGTGGTAATGATGTATCTAACCTTGTGGAAAACCAAGAAATTCGGGAAGGTCACTCCGAGCCAGCTGCAACTCCTGAACCTTCGCAGACCGTGGTTGATGATGAAGCGCTCGAAGTAGGTGAGATCAATTCTCCCGAGCTTTCGACTGATGATAAGAACGAGGAAGGCGAGGTGGCTGAGGAGGCTGCCGATGGTTCTGATAAGTCCAATGATGCTAATGACCCAGTTGAGACTGATCAGGTGGCCGAGCCGGCACCCGCACCTAGCACAGCTGAGGGCACTTCAGCTACCCCTGCTGCAGAAACTGGCTCCTCCAGAGTTATACCTGCTCCCAAACAAGCACTGCTGGCGTTGCCTCAGAAACTGAAGAGATAAAGCAGGCTTCGCCAGTGAGTAGTACTTCAACGACCATAAATTTATCAGAGCGAGCAAGGGAAAGGGCTCAAATGAGACAAGCTGGGGTGGTTTCTTCAATAGGAAGAGGCCGGGGAAGAGGAGCTCCCCGAGGTCGAGCCGCCAGAGGTGGTCGCATTGGCGGGCGTAGACAACCACCTAGTGATGCTTAACTAGTTTAGCCAAGTCTGGAATTAGACGGCCAAATATTGTGTAACTTCACGTTTTGTCTGTCAAACTAATTTACAGTGACATTTTATTATTTCTCATGTAAATACATTTTCTTGCCAATTCTGCGTGTATTAGCGTGAGCTGATTTATAGCTACAAAATTTAACTGTTCCTTAGTGCAAGCCTCATTGGCTGAAGGAAATTTTGATGTACTCTGCATATCACAGAAAGTCGTTGAGAAAATTTAGCCAGTGATATAACATGAGAATAACTTTTTGTTTGTTCTTGTTCTTTGTGTAACTATGGCGGTGATTGCCCTCCTATCTTCATTATATATTTATATGATGGTTACCCTGCGTGTTGAAGTTGTTTCCAAATTTTATCAACTTTTCACTGTTTTTCGTTGAAGGTCATGACTTGTGTCTGATCATCGAGGACTTAAAACTAATCATTCATTATATTGAACTAAATTCCCAAACTGAAGGGAAATTGTAAAACATTAAAAACAATTTGAAAGCAAGTAAATGACAATTGATCATCTTGGTACCCTCTGAACTGCAATCAGAATGTCTCCCATCCCCTTCCTCTGTTCGTAGAGGAATTTGGCCACCACTTCCCCAGGTGAATTATTCCCCTCCGTTCCAAACCAACAGCACTTCGCTGAAATCAAAATCCTTGAGCTCTTTTCTTCCATGTGGCAGTGTCGGCTACTGCAGCAATCATTGCCAGCGGCGGTGCCCGATGCTTTCCAGGAAAAGAATCAGGCTAACATTCTCTTCAGTCCTTCACTTGCTCAACCACCTTGGGATCCTCGGCGCTCTTCACACCGGATATGTCTACTGACCCAAAGCAGTTGATAATTGATCTATCTGCTGCCAACAAAGTATATAAAAAACAGTAAGAGACCAAAGCATCTCTCAACTTACAATAAACTGTGATGAGATAGGATGTGCTAAGTCAAGAATAAAGAATCACAACAAAACACATGCTCTGAAGTCCGAAGGGTTATTTGATTATCGATTTCTTCATTCCAAATCAATTCTTTAAGCAGCATCTCTATCAACTAGCAATACAACAGATATTGCAAAAGAATCCAGATCCTTCAATTGCAATTATGCCAGTGTGGTCCCATTGTCACATGCACATGCACTCAAAGATGCCGACATCAACATGGTAATATGGGAATCATTGCGTTGTATAATTGCTAATAGCCTTAGAATAAAATAGAAGCGGACGAAACAAACCTGTTCATTGGAAATAGGCATATGCTGTCTTACTTTCTTCTCTTGCATGACCTTCTGACGGCTTTCATAAAATTCAAAGTCATCCAATATGGAAGTCCTAGCCACGAAGTTCTTAAATATGCTAAGCATTTCAATACCTTGGGGATAATACACCTGAATAAATGCAAGATAACAATAAACGAAGGGAAGAAAGCAAAGAATGCGTATAACAAAGAAACTTTTCCCTGAACAATATGTGATCCCCATAGCAGTGACAGACCTCTTGCGTGTCTCTGCTATTTGTCACGGGCTTGTTGTCATTATTCTCGAGTATTATATGTCGTAGCTGAGGATTTGGGACATCCTTTATAATATGCCATTTTACGGGGAAATATCCACTCCATTTATCCTGTTGCCAGAAATCCATATTTTTGTTGAAATCAACTCGTCCAATCATCTCAGCTACTCCACAAAACTGACCACTGGCATTGACCTGAAGTCAAAATAGATATCAGCAAAAAACTAGAACTTAAAATTATTAACCTCAAAAAAGTTATAGAACATAGAGGAGTACTGTCTTGAGTGTTTTTGGAGGAAACAGGATGAGCTCCAAATCATACCGAAAAGTAAAGGAACACTGGGCACTTGCTTCCTTTCTCTGCCAACGGCTTTTGTGCTTCCTGGTATGCGGCATCTAACCTCTTATTCCCGTTAGGAGTACTAGCCCACACATTGTATTTAATGCTCTTATGAATATCGTCTTCACTGTATGATTTGATGACAAAGAAAAATGCATGATCATACTTAGTTGGGAAATCAGGAAGGTTATATTGATCCATCCTGACCAAAGAGTTTTTCTGGCCATTTCCACTCCCATCTGTGGCCAGGGTTCCAGCAGGAATACCTCCAGACATTAATGTACCTTTGGCATTAACTGTTCTAGGACCATAATTCTGCTCATCAATTGAACCACTGACCTTGCTTCTCCATTTATACTTTTCTGTGCCAACCCAACCCTTGGTGTTCGATTTCACATTAAGCAAGTTGTTTGAATAGAGTAGTCCACTCTTTCCTTGATTGTATGTCGGAAACTTGGTAATAGGCAAGCAGCCCTTTGCAATTACATCTGAATGAAGGATTGCACCACCAACCGGTGCCTGAGAAACATCACAAAATCATCAGAATAGTCTTGAGTAGATACTAAACACAAGGCAGAAGGTTACTAACCCAGAAAAGAAAAAGAACAGAAAAGAAAGAAATGAACCTTGTTTAATGGTTTTATCTGGTTACGCTTAGCAAGACCAGAAGAGACATCTTTTAATGGTGCAGAACTCTTTACTTCCAATGGGTGGCTCAAGCTAGAATGAGACACGGGCTTTGATGCAAGACTGCCAGAATGACTTTGGGAGGATAAATTAGGTTTCCCAATTGGTTTTCCAGCCAATTCGCTATAAGCATTTGCGTGCAATCCATCTTGTGTAGTTGGATATGAATCAAATGAGTAGGGCACTGGCACAAGATCCCCATATGACAGAGGAGCTGAATAATACCCAGGTGAAGCAATTGGTTGTTCAAAGATGGAGCCATGAGGATACATATGACCAACATACTGCTGATCTGCACCAATTGTACTCACAGGAAAGTACGAAGAGTAGCCAGTCTGATATCCTGGCATGAGATACACATAAGATCCATTATCTGCTTGCATGACCTAAATAAAGCAACAAAAAGGTAAATTCGTATAGAAACACTACTTGCAAGTGATTTATTTTTCAAATGTATGCACATGAATTTGAACTTCATTTCAGAAAAATGACTCACAAATACAAAATACCCCTCTTCAGTGTTTACTTCTTTTTTTTTTTTAAATACAATTACCGATTATTCATGGCCGAACTGGGTAGGATCACATTGACAGCAAAGCTCTCCCAATGAATATTTTAACACAATTACATACTTGGGACTCAAATTCAAAACCACTAGTTAAGCTAGTACAACCCCTTAGCAGTTGAGCCACGAGCTCGTTGGTACTCTTTAGTGTTCACTTCAAAATGATCTAATATAGTGCAAATGCTGATAAATAAGCATAATCATTGTCCAAAGTTTTATTCTATCTTGAATATCCATAACAAACAACTTAAATTTGCCCGATGACCTAATTGGACTAGAGATAGAAATGGCCAACCACAGAGAAAAGAGAGTCAACCGTCCTTGAATCAGCTCAAAAGACTCACAGGATATTGGAGTTCCCCTGCATCAGCACCTACATAGTACCCTTGATTGTCTATATCTCCATAGGAACCGCCATAACCTGTGATTGTTCTAACGTAAGGTGTGAAAATACAAAAATATACAATTAATCAAAAGAAGAGAGGAGAATTAGCACGGCATCTTCAATCAGTAGCAACAAACCTGGATAGTAGTATCCATAAAAGCCACTGGCAGGGTATTGAACACCTTGATCTGTAACCAAGTGCTCCTGATCCACGTCTCCTTTAACGCTACCTGGGGCCTCCCCCACAGATGATATACATGAAGTTGCATCAGATGGGGAATTTGCACGCTTGGATGGAACCTGAAAATACATATCCAAAATTCCAGATAAGCATGTCAATCGATCTACAATGACAAGAATAAGAACGTCATGATTATGATTATCGTGATTAATATGAAAAAAGGAGAAAAGAAAAAACAATAATATATATATATATAGGAAATTCTGAAATCCATAGTCAAGTCATACTTTACACATTCCCTTACTATACAGTCTTGTACATCGCGTGACAGAAATAGAAAAGAATAATCACGTGACCCAGAAAAAAACGGATAAGAAGTAAAATAGGAATTACCAGATTGGAACTGGTGAGCTCGGCAGGGGAAGCTTCAACGTGAAGCTTCTTCCGCTTCATTTCATCTGCAGCTGTCAAAAGAGCAGAAAAATCAACCAATTAAAAATCGTGATTTCTTTACCTCCTTTTTCTTTCTGTTTAGCAGAGCAAAATTGGAAATAAGTATCCATTCACTCTACCAACCACAAGAACTAGATTCATAAATGCACAAGAACTTAGCAGAGTAGAAGAGGGAATACTTTTTTGCAATTGAGCAGCCATTGAATAGATACTCAACAGAATCTCAGCTCCACAATTCCAACCAAAATCCTTGTATCGCTTAATCTAATTTACTTGACACAGCAAAGCTCCGCTCCAATCAGGTCCTCCACATAAAGAAAACAACTCGAAACTTTCTTGCCCTTGAAAAAGAAAAACAAGAAATTTTCAGACAAACAAATCCTAGGTCTAGATTTTTTTTTTTTTCCTCTTCCTTCTCTTTTTCTACTTTTGCTCTCGAGATTTCAGGGCCCCGAGAAAAACAAGCAGAAATATCCAATTGCCGCCTAAATCGGAGATGCGGAAACGCCGAGAACCACTCTCTAAGCCTCCGTCGATATCCTTCAAAAGATTATGAGTTGTTTTCTCGAAGGATATGGCGTCGAAAAGAGAGCCTATTTAAAGGAGCCTCCAAAAAAGAAAGAAAGAGAATCAAAGAGAGGGGCGAGAAAAGAAGACATGCATACACAGAGGAGGAGGGAGGAGAAGAAATTGGCATCTCATAAAATAGAAAAAAGAGACGGTGGAGAACGCTCCACGTTATTATTATTTATTTAAATTAAAAAATGTTTTAAACTTTTATAATTATATTGTATTTTTAAGGGTCACTAATTTCAATCCCATCCGTCCGATGAAAACAAGAACCAAAAACAGAAACGGCTTTCCTTTTCTTGCTTCTTTGTCTTAACGATGTCTTAACTTGCAATAGTAATTTTGATTAATTAATGTTTCTATATTAATCAAAACAATAACCCCAACATTGCATGGTTGTCGTAACAAGAAAATAAAACAATAAAATATAACTTAATATAATTACTCAAAAAATATTTAAAAGATATGGAACATTGTATTAATTTAAATTAAGCCTGATTAAATCGGATGAGTGTTGAGTTTAAGAACAATGTTTTTCGTAATTTGAGCTCTAGATCTTACTCAAATGAAATAATCATTGAATCACTTAATTTTTTTTAACAACTAAAATATATCTTTAGTTCTTCAATTTTATTCAAAATTTTACTTTAATTCTTTAATTTTATAAAATATATTTTAAGTTTTTTAACTTTAACACCATTAATTTTATCATAAAAATATTTTTACATTTTAATTTTAAATATTGACAAACTATTTTTAAATATTAACATATTAGGTTAATTTAAAAAAATAATAATTTACATAAAAAAATAATCATTTGTGATCAATCATGTTAGAGTTAAATGGTTAAAAAGATATTTCACAAAATTAAAAAAATAAATTAAAAAGGGTAAGAAAATGAATTAAAACTTTTATATAAAATAAAGTTAAAGAGTTAAAGATATGATTTGCCCTTCTTTAACCAATGGAAACTATAAAAGTATCTTGAGAATGTCTGAAAATATATTTCAAGACTTAAACTTAAAACTTAAAAATAAGATAATTTAATTCTCTTGATGAGATAAATCAAGTGCCTCTTAGTTGAATTATTTAAATCAATATTATTAATTACTCATAAATTTATTTTGAATTTGATGTGAGGGTTTGTGATTTTTTTTAATTTTAATTGATAAAAGATATAATTTTAAAGCATTGATAATTACCTAGAGTTGGAAGAAAAGTTTCTCTTTTTCTGTTTCCTTTTTGGCCAACGAGGGAAAAGGCTCTCAAATTACAATATGTGTATTTATTTGATAGATTGTCTTATACAGGGGCACATGATTAAGACAAACTGCAAGGGCATATGATATTGCATATAATATATTATACAATTATATAATCATTTCAAACTTCTATAGTTTGCTAGGATACGTTACTTGCATATGTTAGCCTTTGATGCTCCGATTGATGCGGGGCTTCTTTCTTTTTAATAATTAACAATGTAGATCAAAGAATAGAAATAAAATTCTAATAATGTGGTTATTTGAATGTACCCTTTTTATCATTTCTTAATTTAAGGGGGAAAATCAAAATTACTTCTACAAAATAATATAATATAATAACTTCGATATACAATTAATTAGTAATATAGATTACTCAATAATCTGATTTAATTATATAATGCCAAAAAAATCTAATTTAAATTTTAAATGGAAATTTTTTAACGAGGAAATTGTTTATTCATGAATACATGAATGATAATAATACTATTTTTTTAATATTAGAAAGATTAGAATTTATTCTAAAATTAATCTCATTCTATTTTTTGATGGATATTTTCCTTTTATTTTTACCTCTTAGGTGGATCCACTACTAATTATTTATCAATTAATAAAAGTTGCATCAACACGTTAAAGGGAAAATTGACATTATTAAATAATAAGCTTTCGGTTTAAATCATAATAATAGCGTTGTCTCAAGAATTTTATTGACTCACATTCTCTTGAAAATATCAACCTCAATATCAAGGCCCAGAAAAAACAAAATCAGTGTCATTAAATTGAGTGATAAGAACTCTTGTCCTTTAAATATGTAATTGGGAGTTTTATTTATAATTGCTTGTACATGTAGCATACTTAATTGAAGAGATCTATCGTTTATCCTCTTAGTCTAGAAGATATTAATCTCCACTATCAACAAAACATACTCTTGATCCGACTATAGTCAAAAAGACAAGGAAACTTCTTTTATGTTTCATGCAGCTAAGTAAAGAAATAGAAAAAATAATAATAAAATATTTTTAAAATATATAAATAATAATTTTATCTCTCAAAATATCATAATTTTTTTAAGTTTTAAAAAAATTTTATCATTAATAAATTTATATAAATTATTAAATTATCTTTGTTAAAAATAAATGATTCACAAATTTTATTTAAATATTCACAACTTTTTTCTTATATTCATAACAATGCAACAGCAAATAAGAAATTAATATGTAAAGTTATAATTTGATATTGCATTGTTACGAATATAAAAAAAATATTGTGAATATTATAGAAAAGTCTCTACTAACTTTAGGAGAATTATGACATTTCGAGAGATAAAATTATTATTTATATATTTTAAAGACATTTTATTATTTTTTTAAAAGAAATATTGACCAGGTTTGGCTCAGTACAGTGAACATTAATAAAAGTTGTGTGTTAATTTATAATTGCCTTCATCCAAAGTATTTTTCCTTAAAAAAGTTGTAACTAAAGTGGAAGATGGATAAAAGTCAACTGTTTAAGGTTCAAGGCTTAATAAGGGCTCCGATTGGGCACAAAACAAATAACAATTTGAAGTACAAACATTTACAATTACTTATAATTCAAATCACAACTCACATTTCCAAAGGGATCATGGAAGTGAAAGATGAGACTTGAGAGAAAGGCACATATCAGATTGGGGAGACAGTTGAGGCGGTGAGGGTTGAGAGACAGAGAGAGAACACTAACGGTCGTGTGCTTTGTGCGGCAGAGACATAAACTATAATTTCCACGAAATTTGATTTGTGAATCTCGGAAAATTTCAAAATTAAAATAAGGGCCTCTAAGAGTTTGCCTGTTTAGGTCTTTTTATCAATTTTTTACCCTTTTTAATTTTTTAAACATTGAGCACCCAATATTTTAAATATGTCTCACATCGAGTAAAAAAAACTTTGATAAAGTTAAGACTAATTTAGATTGAATTGGTATAAGATCCTTTCAAGTAAAAGTTCTATCATTGAAATTATTATATTTTTTAAATTCAAACTTAAAATCTATAATTAAATTAATACAAATATAGTTATCTTGTCAATTAAACCAAGCCAGCCTTAACTGTAATGATTAAAAAAAAAAACACATGTTTGCCTCTAAAAGTAACTGCCTCCTTCAAGATGAAAAAGTAACATGTATAATATATTAATTTAAGAAATAAGTTTTTAATAAATTTAGAATATTGAAATAATAAGTCCTATAATATTATGAAGTAATTTATTAATAATTCTATAGAATCCATCAATGTTCAAAAATAAATAAATAAAAACAAAAGGTATATATGGTCCGGTAGTGCATGCCAACAAATGCAAGTGCGTGTGCTTTTTTTTTTTTATATATATTTTTTTTCATTTTTGAGTAATGTCTCCTTGTACAGGCAATTATATTTGCATTCAATGTTTTATTACTTTCTTGAAGTAATTCTTTAGTTTTTCTCAGTGCTAGTGTACTATATTTCTCTCACACACTCACATGATAAATTAGTGGCTTATAATTATTTGCTTTTGATAGAGTTCCAAATCCTAACTCACTGCTAGTGGAGGCAAACACCAGTTAACACAAAGGACAAACCATTTGCTTTAATATTTATTTATTTATTTATTTTCTTAAAAAAAAATTAGTGGGAAAGGAATCTTGACCTAATCCGCAACCTTATCTTGTTTACATAATTTTTATTTACTAAGTTACTTTCTTAGCATGTGAGAACTCAAAAAGACAAGAAAGAAATATTACACAAACTAGACCTTGAGAGATCTCAATCCATGTAAGTTTCTCTGAAAGTTTACCTTTTCAACTTTTAGATTGTTTCGTATATTTCTTTAATTTAATTTAATCATTTTATTTAATGAAAGAAAATTCATGGAAATTAGGAGGATCCTTCATTCAACTCTCCAAACTGTCAAATGCATTCCTATCAGTGTTCGGTAGAGACAACCATACTGTTCCTTCTCGCTTTCTAGATGCCCAAGTATAATATTATATACATGTTCTGGTCAAAAAATATTTATAATATATATTTAGTTAATTATTTCTTGGTTATTAGAAGGAGCATCTGACAACGAATTGTTTTAAAGAGATATAAAGATGACTTCAATTATTGGTGTGAGGAATAAGAATGCACATATAATAATAAGATTACGTGAAAGAATTGATAATCATCACTGACATTTTATTTTTCACGAGAGCAATATGGAATATTCATGTGAATTACAGTTTAATTATTGGGAAATTTATTTATTTTTTGGCTAATTTATTAAGGGATCAAAATCATATGATCAATAATCTGTGTTCTGAAACTGAGACAGTGTTCAAGAATTGGATGTCAATCATGGAGGCAACCATGATCTCGACCCAAGAGCAGATTTTAAATTAATTATTGAAATATGAATTTGTTTTTTTCCTTTTCGTTTGGTCAGAAGTCAAATTTCAAGTTCGTTATTTGAAACAAAAGTATGTATGTTGAACATTTCAAAGAAAACACAGGAAGTAAAGGAATCCACTAGAGTGGATAAAAGGAAAAGGTTAGATAATGGTGTAATATGATCCGTAATGTCTAAATCAAATGTTTACACTAATAATAGTAAATAAAATTGTATCATCGATTCAATAATCTTATTACGATTAGTGTATTAGCCATGTCCAAATAGTTAAATCGAAATAAATATTGAAAATAGGGAAAAATATCATAATTAAACGAGATAGATGAACTTTTTTCGGAAGGGACTACTCATAATTAGATTTAAAAATAAATTAAAGAAAAGATTGACTTTAGTTAAGTCTAAAACTAAAGTTGGAGGGCCGGCGACCTATTTTTAGTTTTTTTACAAGCTATTATTATATTTTCTCATATTTAACTTAAATAAAATTATTTTTTTAATCTCAAACAAATTCAATATAATAATTTTGGTGTGAAAGGAGAGAGTTTTTTTTAATATAACTATTTAAATAAATTACCAAAATTAGAGTATTTAATGTTTACAAAAATATTTATAAATCATTCATCAATTCAATAAAATCATTACATCAACAAAGAAAGTCAAACCTATTTTATGGACTCTGAATTAAATCCTTATAAACTTTGGCAACAAAAAAAAAAATCCTTATAAATTGTGGGATTCAGATCCAAGAGAGATGTTAATTATCATGATTTTTTTAAAAAAAAAAAACTTAAGTCACGTTACGAGAATGAAATGAATTAAAAAATAAGATAAAAATAAAATAAATTATATTTTTTTCATAATAAATATAATAAAAATTATTAATATGTATTACAAATGTGACAATTATCACATTCTCTAAAAATTTTATAGATCATGATTTTTAATTTTATATATTAAATTATCCATTTTTTTAATTAATTTATTTTTTTTTTTTTTAATTTTTTAATTTTATTTTTTTAGCAACTAAACGTGAATCATATTAATTGTCTGGCCCTAAAAGGAGATAAGGAGAAATATGTGTGTGTGTGTGTAGCTAGGGGAAGAAACAATAATGAGATGTGCAGATAAAAATAGAAGACGCTAGAATAGAGAGAAAAAGATGCGTCGAAGCCTTTTCGGTAATGTCAGAGTCGGCAAAGCTTAGGCGCTAAGAATTTGCGTGATTGCGGTCTTTCCGTGTCCGTGGCCAATACGTGTGACCGTCACTCCCCTTTTATTTATTTTTTTCATTTTCGGGTAAAACTTTCCTCCACAACAAGTCTCATGGCCCTTTAATCTTGATACGGGGATGCGTTATTGAGTTGAAACAAAATGTTTTCTATAGCCAGAAAATTTAAGCATTGTAGATGTAAATAAATTATACTCAAAAAACTATCTCCATTAAACCTAACAATATTAAAATTTGATTTCATAGTATTAAATATCATATAATTATGTAAAAGAAATTGTAATATACATACATATAAACAACTTTGATTGCGATTAACGAGAATTGGTCCAGTGAAAAAGACTAATTATTTATAATGTGATGAATTTAAATTTAAATTTGGAATGAAATATGCACATTTAATATTCAATTAACTCTTAAATAATATTAACTTTTAAGAAGAAAACTGTGCACAATGAAAAAAATTATTACAAGATTTTCGTCTCCACAACAAGTTTTAGAAGTGCAATCTTACAAAAAGTACAAAGATGCAATTAAACCACTTTTCTTTTCTTTTCTTTTCTTTTTTTTCTTTTCCTTTTACCCAGAGAATTAGACCATTACTTGCTCACCACCATTCTTGTCATACATCCACATATCCACGTACATACATAAAATAATCCGTGTGACTTGACTCAATGTAATCAAACAAGTTTTATTGACAAATCATGGATATCATGACTTAATCATTATATACTTCATCTAGTTTTCATTGTAAAACATTTTTTAAAAAGATATTTTTAATTCTTAATAAAAGGCACTTAAAAAAATTATTTATTAATCATTTTTTTAAGTTTACTTTTATTATAAATTTAATTATATGACTCATTGTGTACGGTGTAATTTTATCTTCTTATTTTTAATAAACGTAAAGTTTGAATTTTTTTTATTTTAAAAATATATTTAATGAGTTAACTATTATTCATTCATTTTAATGGAATAGTTGAAAGCCCTTTATAATATCCTCTCTTTAGTTTTATTTATAGGGTAGATAAAAAAGATTTGTTTGTTCTATTTATAGATTATATTATTAAATTTTTATAATAAATTTTTTCTCTTACCCTCTATTTAATATTGGAAAAAAAGTATATTATTAAAATATATATTTAATAGAAATAAAGTTAAATTTTTAAATAAAATTAATAATTTTAAAAATTTTTCTTAATCTTGTGAAACAAGTTGGAAGGGGTAATTATGTAAAAGAAATTGCTCCCATTCACGATCCGCCCGTGCGTACAAAATTGAAAATTATCGTTTTCCTTCATGTTTTTTCCTTTTTTTTTTGCATATTTTCTTTTTTGTTGCCAGCGCATACATACGCCATGATCTGCCACGACAAGCCCTCATGCGCAAGCCACGTGTATAGCTTTTTTGACAAAGAAAATCAACCGATTTTCGATAATTAAATATTCATTGCATTTTCTTCGCATTAAATGCCCTGCTTCACCATTCTCTGTTTTTGTTTATTCCATTTATAGTTTATTTTTGTTTTACATAAATTCCAATTGGTGAATATCTTATCAAATCGTCGACCCCTCTCCACTTGCTCCAGCATTTATTTGGTTTAAGCACAGGCTCTTAATTTTGTTCATGTTCTTTTCGCTTACTTTCGCCAAAAAACACTGTTAGATCTCACAGTCCAAACATCAGTAGACGTGTTCATTTTGTATTTGTTTTTCACTGGATGCCACCATACGCACGGGCTCCAACTTTTTATTTGTGGGATGGATAAATTTGGATTTTAAATTAAAAATATCACATTTAAAATTTATATTTAAAACAGTTTGAGTAATATAAAAAATTTTTTAAAAAAATTATTTTAAGATCACTCAAGTCAATTAATCACAAAGAAGGACCAACATTAAGTTGTATTTTAGAAAAAAATAAATTCATGTTCCTCGTATTTGTCCTTATTTGTAAACGACTTATTTAAATAGTTTTTGGATGTGATTCCCCCAAAATTTTAAATTCAAAAACAATGGAAAAGTGAGATGAAAAATTAAAAATGGAAGAAAATAAGAAGATTAAAGTGATTGACATTTCAAATAAATAAGATATAAGGAAGATTTGATATTTCAAAGAATTTTGGATTTGATCTGATCAAATTTAAATTTATAAATTTATAATTTTCATGGATTCAAATTATGGAGGTGACTCAAGTCCAAATTCACCTACATTCAAAATTTCAAATCCTGCATTATATTCAAAGTCCAAATTATGGGCTCATGACCTCTCAATGCAACTGCTTTAGGGATGGATCATGGGCCAAAGGCCACGTGAAGTAATTAAGAGCCCATCTTACTCCTTCTACACTTGTTTCATTTTGATGGCTCATGAAGAGAAGGTCTTGAGTCTGAGGTTCGGCCGTTTTTTTTTTTTTTTTCCCAAGCTTGATTAGACTCTTTCTTTTGGCATCAGACTCTCTTGAGTTATATTTTATTTTTTGCTAGAGTTTTAAGTTTTAGTTTAAACTATGCTCTAGTTATAATGCTAGCATACAAACTTTAAATTAAATTTTCTGAAACTGTAATTCATTTACAAATGATCTCTTAATATATCATGTTTTGTCGATAAAATAATATTCCAACTAATTAACTATAGGGAAGTTGATTGCACATACAAGTTTAAAAGTTTAAAAGAATTTATTCTCAAAATTTGAAAATATAAAAAGTTACATCCAAAATTGGAAAGGGAAAAAAAAGTGTAATTTAACCTAAAGATATACGTGAACACGATCTTAAATTTACTTACAAATTATTCATAATCGATTTAATCTACTGATACAATCAAGATAAATAATGTCCCTAAAAATATATAGGAGAAAAAGAAAAGAAAATCACTAGGGTAATTAATTCTATAATTAAAATTAGGTGCACTGAGATGGAGCAAAGCCAACAGTCATGGAGGCTAAGTCGTATTCCCAAAGATGCAACTGTTGCATGATGTTGCCTATTACTCCAGCCGTTTCAATACTTCCCCTTTGCGTCTGCAACAAACCGAGGCAGTGCACATTGGGTTTCATAGTAAGGACATAGTTACTCACAGGAGGCTCAAACACAGCCCCACCAGCAAAATGAAAGCCCAGTTTTGGTACATCTTTCTCAAAGCCTTCACGCTCCTCAGCAATAAAACAGTACCTGAGTCCAGTTTCATTGGAACCAAATATTGTCTTATATTTTGGTGCTAATGCCTTCAATAACCCTTGACCAATCTTTTGAAAAGCTGGCTTGCCCACCACCGTCAAGCTCGTGCCTGTGTCTAATGTCATGCCTCCACCAGCTTTGAAATCCCAGAGCTCTGCTGGGAGTTGCAGCATTTGGCCTCCAATGGAGATGCCTTCAACTTGGATACCATATTCTCCATCTGGTTGAATCATGAGTTTGGTTCGTTGCATTGGGGCAGACAAGGTGGCTTTTTGGGTCTGGCTTGTTTCGTAGGAACCAAAAGTTATAAAGTTGGTGGAGTTCTTGAGAAGGTGATGTTCCATGAGACAGTACGAGAACTTGTTACCGTACTGTTTCGTTGCTCTGTACATGAACGACAATGGCGTGTAGCCTAACCCCATCATACCATCCGTACGACTGAAGTCGTCACCTTCGTTATCGGTACCGAAATTTAATTCATGGTTACACCCAATTATCATATCATCTATGGTTCCCATCTTTTCCCTCTTCACGCCTAGCGTCACCACATCTGTACCATAGTCGCCGAATGCCATAGTGCCGTGTGCGTATCTGTTCAAGTCAAATATTTTTGCAAGAAATTCTCACATAATGTTTAGAATAGCAAAAGGTTACAGTAAACAGCCATATCCAACCCAACAATAGTGATGGTTACATTGATTTTGATTGCATCCGTAGTTTCGAAAAGATGATAAAGTAGTCGTGCAGCTTACGTGGTAGAATAGGTGCAATAATCAGTTGGGTGAGCGCATTCCGATTCACCACCCGCATTGACGAGGTCTTCACCCTTGCATCTCGAATCTGCACACGTCAACGGTTTATACGTCGTCGACATCTTTCGGCAAAACGCCCTGGCGCCATCGACTCGCAGGGCGGACCTTCTGGTGTCGTTTTTGCTTGTCACTTCGTCGTTGCATCGGATCCAAGTCAATTCGCTACCCGTATCGGCGATCAACCAGAAATTCTGCGGCGGCGTTCCGACCCTCACTTGCACGTAGTAATCGCTTATCATGTATTCCCATCCTGTGCGCAGCGGCATCTCAACCATACTCAAACCCCTCCGATGCATGTCCATCAGAGCTCGCTCCCTCATGGCTTCGTATTTATCGAGCTTGAGGTTCTCGTTCCCTGGAACACGAGGATCGTGGCGGTGCACCAATTCGAGGCTGACGGGCTCCGGATCGGACTCACACTCAGACGATGAACCCTCGGCGGAGGCGGAGAGTAGAATGAGGGTGAAGAGGAAGGAGAAGTGGAAGGGATTCCAGTGCAGAGTGGATCTCATCCTGTCCAGTTTTTGATCCGAAACGGAATTCATTGATGAAGCTGATGCGATGCGAGAAAAATGAAACTGGGAAATGAGTGAATTGAGGTGGTGAAATGTGAATAAAAGAATTGGGGAAAGGGACGAGGAAGAAGGTGGGATCAGAGGAGAGAGAGCTATAATTAGGGAGCAGGAGGGGCACAGAGGGAGCAGAGGCTTCCCGCGTTTCCCGACTCTGTGTCCCTCTGACGCGGGAAAACGGGACTGCAGATTGTGGGCTCATCATTGTCGTCGTCGTCGTTCATTTCTTGTTTCATCAAAACGACAAGGAATACTTGAATAAGGCCATCAAAGTCATCGTCTTTTAACTTCGATGCCATGCCACCGCTGAATGATATTCCTCAGCTTTATTTTGCTGGTCTTTTTTTTAACCAAATATTTTGCTCGTCTTCGAACTTCTTCAAATCATTGGTGTGTGTGGATCATATATAGATATTATTATATTACCGTCTTTAATTTCTTTGGGCTCACGAGAGCAACGCGCCGTTTACCTGTTGCACTTTTCATATTCTAAAAAAACTTTTTTACAAATGTGAAAAATTATTTGAATATAATTTAATAAGATTAAATGTGCTCTTTTAAAGTTTTTTTGGAATGAGCTGAACGTGAAAATTTAAGCATAGTTTGGGTATTGTAATTTTTACATTTTAAAAACACTTTCTCACTTTTTAAAATGTAAAAAATTGTTTGGCTATAATTTAATAAGATTAAATGTAGTTTTTGAAAGTCCTTTGAAATAATATTAAATTATATTTTTTTATGTTTATCATTTAATATCTTAAATTGTATGTTATTTTAAATTTTTTTCACATTTTTAATATATTATATTTGTGTAATAAAAATTATAAGATATCATAAATTGTATGTTATTTTAAATTTTTTTCACATTTTTAATATATTATATTTGTGTAATAAAAATTATAAGATATCATAAATTGATATTTTTTTTGTCATTGCATATTCAAAAGTATATTTTAAAAATAAAAATTATCATTAATCTAAATAATTTTTAATCTATTAAACTGATTTTTAAAAAAAATATTCAAATATAAATTTTAATATAATAATTGATTTTCGTCAAATGAGCTTTCAACAAATTAACTTTTAATAAATTAAAAACGAAACACACACTAAGCCCTTGAAGGTTATAGCCGAAACATACTACTCCTTGAGGGCGATACCAATTCCAGTGTTTGCTGGTTAAAAATAATTTTGGGTTCAATTTTCATATAACAAGTAATTATATTTTCATACCAAATTATTTAATATATATATATATATATACTCATCTTGCCAAATAATGTTGATGGCTTGTGTGAGTTTTTTGTTATTCTATGTTTTGAGTAAGCCGCACAGTGAATGCAATTCTCAACAAAAATTAAATTAATATTAACCAATTGAGTCTCAAACTCTAATATAGTCATGATTTTGATCCTTGGAAAAAAATAATTCTTTAAACTCTTGAATTTATTCCTCAATACTTGTATTTATGCATGCATGGAGCTCTTTTTTCTTTAGTTACTTGGAAGTGGGAACACTTCGATTTGTTTTATTTCCAATGATGATATATTTTTTTAATTTTACTTTCATTTCGGTAAGTTAACGTTTGAAGTTATGATCTACTCTGGTGATACAGATTGTGGTATAGATCAATGAGTTGCTTGCTATGCATGGGTTTTAGAGCAGCAAGGCCGAGAATTTCTGCAACACTGCTGGGTCGTCTGTTGCTTCTTCTGATAATCAACAGTTAGAAACTGGTGATGGTGAGTTTGGTGCCCATGAGAAACTTCAAATGAACATGAGAACCTTAGCTGTGCTGGATTTATGAGTCAGAAGGACTCAAAACACGTGAACAAAATGAGAGATGAAGGACTTGAATGAAAAAGAAAATTTTATTACGCACTTAAATTACAATATACTCCAAACAACTTTTTCACCTTAAGTGAGTTGTTCAACCTTTTCACTCTTCAACACTCCTTCCTCTCCTTTCTTACTTTTTTTCACCAGACACCACTTGATGCACTAAATGACTTATCCAAGTGTTATATTTATGGAAAAAGAAAGTGTTTGCTCAGCATGACACTCGTATTACTTGGAATCTTCCTTTGTTTAGAGAGAGGCATGCATTGTCGTGTTCTTTAAGTTGCCATTATTTAGTTGTGTGTGTGTATATATATATATATTCTTTTCTTTTCTTTTAATAACATCACATGGGTTCTTGATTTAATAGAATATGAAGAAATATGTGGTGCCATTTAACATGGAGAGAGTTTTAAATTAAATCAGAAGAACTTTTAAAAAAGAGAAGGAAGCTAAGTAGTAAATCTCTTGGTAGTTCTGAAAGGAAATATCTCGGATGTAATAGCAACAGAGTAGGACATGCATCCTTTGATTTTGAAGTCACAGCCGAAGCTTCAGAGCAGATTCAAAAAGGTCAGTCAAATACTCAACTGATTTGTTGAAAGAACTAACTAGATGCAAAGCTGTTTACTACAAGATCAGAAAAATGTGACTGCATTGTTTTATTTATTTGTGAATCTGATAATAAATTCCTCAAAAAACTATATTAGCTTTGTTGAAAGTTAAAACTCCCAAAAGTAATCAACTTGCTTTTTCATGATGTATTACCAATTTGAACTCCTGTTTGATTGGTTCTACTACTAGAGACTTGGATGAAGAAGATGCAGGAAGGAAGGAAAATCCCCCATCAGGTTCTGTAATAAGGCTCATCTTAATCACAGTGTGGAGGAATCTAAGCTTATAAGAAACCCGACTACCTACGCAAGTCTTGTAGGGCTTGCCTGGTCCCTCTCGTAGCATTCAAGTACTTCCAAGGTTTTCACATCCTGTTACTACAATCGCTACTTGAGATATAATTTTCCACTATGTAATGTGATATCAAAATCTTAATATTCTGTGTTTTTATTTTATTTTATTTATAGGTACAACATCAAACTGCCATTTTATTGCTTATTTCAGGGTCCATAACACTGGGAAAAAAAAAAAGGAGTAGGATTGGCAATGTTGTGCATGGCCACTTCACAGTCATTCTCTGTCATGAACATTAGAAACTTATTGAGAAGAAATATTATATATATTCTAGTCTCTCTTTGCAGTTCAGAATGAATTGATTATTGTTAACTCAACTGGGTACTTCATCAGGTTTGTTCATTGGTTTGCAGCCCAAGATCTTGGCCTGTAAAATATCAATGGCGGTCAAGTGCACGGTTGTGAATTGAATTTCAATGTTGGTCTTCATGGAATTGAACTTCAGATATAAAAAATACAGGCTACAAAACTAATATTCCCTTTACTATACTAATAACTTGACCAATTTCACTTTCTATATACATGCTTTACCTCCTTATTAAGGTTAAAGTAAGCACACCCATTTATCTATTTATGTGCATAGTATCTTTTCAGTTACAAAATATTTAGGTGAGTTAAATCTTAGAAACTTACTAGAATTAGAACAAGTTTTACAATGCAAAGAATGCTTACATCTATATCTATAATTGTGGAATATATATTATAGTACAGTTTTAAATACAATTAAAGTAACTATCCTCTTAAGATAGACAATGAACTTATTACAAGTCAATTTGAGTTAAAGTTATGAAGTGTCTTGTGGGTAAGGTGAGGTGTGAATAGAAATCAAATTTTTAAAATCTTGTTAATATAACAAACAAAAAATCACGAACTGTTTTATTTTTTGGGAAAAAATGGAGACATAAATAACAATATGAATAGAATTAAATTTGACATTTAATATGAATTATAATTTCTAGTTTTAGATTGAAAAGAATGATAAAGAGGTCTTAAAAAGATTAATTAATTTAATTTAAGTTCTAAATACCAAACTCTAAAAATTTGCAATTTCAATTCTCAATTTTGCAATTTTATTATGATGAATTTGCAACTTGTGTTTTAAATTTTAATAGAGAATACAACTTTATTTATTTATTAATTATGTTAAAATTTGAAAAATAAATTACAAATTCATTACAATAAAATTATAAAATTGAAAGCCAAACTTGGCAAATTTTTAAATTTTGACACTAGGGATTAGATTGAATTAATTAATCTTTTTAAGACTTCTTTGTTATTTCTTCTTTTAAATTGTTTTATATTTTTATATTTTTACTAGCAATATATTCTTTGTTAAATACAATGTACGAATGACCATATACTGGATAGTTAAATAAAAATTTATGAGTTATCATGATTTACAAAGGCAATAAATGTATCTATTTCCGTTCTTGTTAGCAAAACATGCATGATAAAAGATTTTGTTTGCAATCCTAATTAACATCTATCTATATATAACTTGATGTATCTCCTACTATAGTTTAATATGATAATAATTTTGGATATTTTAATAAAAAATTGAAAGCAATCAAACAGGACGAAATCTTCTGGTTCCTGAATTGAATCCACGGATTAATTGGGTTATATATATCAATCATTATTCTAGAGTGATCGGATGCACTGCTATTATTAAATTAATTTATCCTCATTTATATGTTAAAAAAATGACATAAAGTATGACTATATCAGAAATGCAAATATCTTCATGTTTATTTATTTTAAATTTGCATTCATTTTTTTCTGGAGTTAGTTCAAGCCATAAATTCATTAAAAAAATATTTTGAAAGAGCATGGTTATCAAACTCTTGAGTTGATTCTTTGAGTTTATTATTTTTACATTTTTAACTTAAAAAATTATTTTAACTCACTCATAAACTCAAATTAAATAAAATTTGGTTAAACTCCTAGTTAACTTTTTGAGTTTACTAGCTTTACATTTCTATTTTATAAAATCGTGTTAACTTATCCATAAAATTAGATTAGACACAACTGGTTAAACTTGCTAAACTTATTCATTTTTAATTGAGTTGAGGATATTAGATATATATTATATAGAACTTGCTTTATAAAAGCGGTAGTAAAACTCAAAAAGCAAAAAAAAAATCAATTAAAAAGAAAACAACAAAAAAAAGTTTTCCTATTTTAAAATTTTTATGTTGAGTATGATGATATATTAATATAGATGGATTTAATTTCACTTATTTATATTTAAAATATATTTAAATTTAAATTAAATTATGATTATATTTTATATTTTAATAATTTAATTATATACTTTTAATGGTAATTTATTAATAAAAGTAAACTTTAATGAGTTTACGATCTGAATTTATGATTCAAGTTTACATCTTTATCACAAATTTATTTAAACTCGTGAGTTTGAAAACCTTGTGAAAAAGTTACTTTTGTTTAATTGAATCAAGTAAAAACTTCAAAGATTTAGGAGCATTGTTTCTTTTCTTTATAATTAATGCACGTACATCGAAGATCCAAGTTGATTCAGTTATCATTTAAACTTGAAATCTTTCAAATTTCTTTCCTAACACATGGAATACAGAATCAACTCATGAACCCAGTCACCCCAACCATGGCTGCTATTGCTTATATTTATGCATACACAGATCCTCAAACATGACCAAAGAGAATCCTTTACTTACACAAAACTTGAGAATTTCATCTTCTTCTCTTTTGTGTCCAACACTCTCTACATAATCTTCTTTTATTTGGTCAAACTTTAGGATGCTGATAGATTTTCTTGCAGTTCTTGGGGCAGTTGTGCCCTTGTATGTTGCCATTGGCCTAGGCTATATCTCAGTTCGATGGTGGAAGGTCTTAAACCCAGAACAAAGCTCTGGAATCAACAGCTTCGTGAGTAATTTTGCCATTCCTGTTCTTGTTCTTGACCTCCTCTCTGCGAATAACCCATATACCATGAACTTCAAAGCCATTGCTGCTGATGTTCTTCAGAAGGTAGTCATTTTTATCCCACTGATTGCATGGAAAAATCTAAGCAAAAATGGTAGCTTTGACTGGGTAATTACCATATTTGGTCTCTCAACTCTTTCAAACACTCTTCTGGTTGGACTCCCTCTTGTTCAATCCATGTATGGGGATGGCTCATATTCTTTACTGGTTCAACTTGTGGTGATTCAGTCTCTAATATGGATGAATGTGCTTCTGGCCTTGTATGAATATAGAGCAGCTAGCATCCTCATTGCAGAGAAATTCCCCACCACTGCTGGGTCCATTGGATCTGTAAGAGTTGACCCAGATGTTTCTTCCTTCAGCGACCTTGAACAATTAGAGACTGATGCTGAGGTAGGTTCTGACGGGAAGTTACATGTGGTTGTGAGATCTTTCTCTGTATCATCAGGGATTTCTCTGGGTAGTTTTCGTTCAATGGATTCTGCAGATGAACTCAACTTATGGGCCACAGGTTCATTTCCCAGACAGTACTCTTCAAGAAGATCAGGAAGTAGTAGATCTTTTGGTCATCCAGAAAGGCACTATCACAAACAAAGATCACATAATACCAGTAGAGTAGCAGATTCATCCTTTGATATTGAAGCCATAGCTGAAGCTTCTGAGTCTTCTCATCATCACGTGGAAACAGCACCAAACAGGTGAGTGAATATTCATCTCCATTGAATTATAATGATAAACTGTTCTTCCTCCAAGGGTATGTTACCTATCTGAACTTTTGTCCTTTTAGTTCTGCTTTGATTAACCAGGATGTAGCGAAGAAAGAGAGTCCCCCAGCAGGTGTTGTGGCAAAGCTCATCATAATCACAGTGTGGAGAAAACTAATTAGAAACCCTAACACATATGCGAGTGTTGTAGGGCTTATATGGTCTCTGATAGCATTCAGGTACTCCACAAATCTTTATATTACAATCACATGGCTTTTCACAGTGTAATTTCCTACTCATCCCTTTCCTCAAACTCTCTGTATATTTGATTATATTATGCCTTTCATTTACAGGTTCAACATTGAAATGCCATTGATCATTAAAGGGTCCATTACAATCATATCTAAAACGGGAATAGGAATGGCAATGTTCAGTTTAGGTATCAAATCCATCTCACCCATCAACTTTATATCCAAGAAACAACTAAGAAAAAACAACTTCATGGTTATAATTTTTTGTGTAATTAGGTTTGTTCATTGCTCTCCAACCCAAGATCATATCCATTAAATTACCCATGTTGGTGACATGCACGGCCATAAGGTTAATACTGGGCCCAGTAGTAATGGCTGCAACATCTGTTGCTGTTGGTCTTCATGGAATTGTGTTTGATACAGCAACTGTCCAGGTTACAATACTAAGAAGACCCTTTCTATATCTATATATTGATTCAGTAAAGACATTGAACTTTTGTTAATCTAAATGGTTGAGTCATAAAATTTAAATGTTACCACAAAAGCTAGAATTTGGGTGAATGATGTTCATTGTTATGCAGGCTGCTCTTCCCTTATCAATTGTTTGTTTTGTGTTTGCAAAGCAATACAATATCCATCCTGAGATATTCAGCACAACGTAAGTTAGTTTCTAGATACTTCCATTAATCTTGTAGTGAAAAAAAAAAAAACCAGCAGAATTAGTGATGTTGGGTTTGTTTCGTTTTCTCAGGATTATCATCACAACAGCTTTGTTCTTGCCTGTTACAATTGTCTGCTATCTGATCTTGAGACTAGTTCCATGGTAATAATTTGCACACAAATGGAGGAAATGGATTTGTGTCTTGCTTAATGACAAGAGCTGTATGTATTGTGAGAGCATGAAGAAGGGAGACTTCAAAAATGATCTATCATATGCATAATGAGAAAGGGAAAGAGTTTTGGGATTGAATCATGGACTGATTAAAAATGTCTGCCCCGTCTTGTAATTTTTGTGTTTTGTTTTGGACTTTTTCCATTTCTTGGTCTACTCACAAAAAAAAAAACATTTTTAAAAGGGAGAATCACATTAAAAAACTTGAGAAAACAATTATTCGCAAATGAAGACCAAGAAATAGACTGTCGTTGAAATGAGAACTTAAATTTATTTTTTTTAAATAAAACTTATTATTAATTTTTGCTTGTGAATAACTTTCTTTTTAGGTCCTCAAACATAATTCTTCCTTTTTAAAATGGTTCACGTAGTTGAATGATAAAAGTAATCTAGTAAGTTAGCTACTGAGGGAAAACACACAAAGGCAACTCAATAATGTGTAAAATATTTGACCCCTTGGTTTACCAAGAACAAAAAGGTCCTCACCAAAAAAATTATGCTTAAAATATAAATGATTATGTCAAGCATTTAAATTTAAACTTTGAATACACAAGTAATTCGTACAAAGCACACACAATTTAATAGTAAACTTTTGTCTAGAGCATTTCTTTAATACTAATATAGTCATCTAAGTAGTCTGTGTTGATTAAATTGATGATAACCAATATTCAAAATTATTATGAAAATATAAAGTGTTCCAATTTTTTTACCAATGATTATAATCTTCCCATGCATCAAATGGAATGGTCAAAGCTAGTTTTAATAATAAAATAAAAACATCTATTTTTTTTATTTTTTTTAATAACCAAACAAGTTAACATGTACAATAAAACAAAATACAACTAAATAAGTCTTTAGAACAAAAACTAAAGAGGTAAAGAAATTAACAGACCAACAACAAAACCAAAATTAAAAACAAAAAACAAAGTTAAAACCATACTGAGAACTAAAGAAAGACTCAGAAGAAGAAGGTCAATGACTCAATGGTGCTAAATTTTGATACATGCATGAAAAGTTTAAACGCTCATATTGTAAGACGGTTCCATGATAAAATTTTAAAGGCACTGATAAGAAAAATTGATTATTTTCAATCCGACAAATGGAAAGTAGATCCTTGAGAGTTGATAGGTATTCCATAGGATTTGACACACCATAACTGTATCAGCTTTAGTTTTGAAAAGAAATCATCTGCATGAGCTAGGACCAAGCAACGAAAGACAAATAAAAACAACTAATTGACCAGCTTATGTTATGAAACAACTTAAGGGGGGAAAAGCAATAATTTTTTTTTCTCCAATTTTTCCTGTCAAAGGCATTTGATTTTGTCTTGAAATGTTAATTGTTGAAGAAAAAGAGGTGGCCTGCTCATAGGTTTAGCAAACACAATCCCAAAAAAATTGTACTCTTTGTCTCAAATTATATGACACTTTTAAAAAAGTTTTTCTATCATAAAATATAAGATACTTTGAATATATTAAAATTTTATTAAATGTATCGATTTTAATATTACTCTTTTTCTCTTTATAATTATTTTTCATCCATTCTCTTTTCAATATATTAAATGATGGGTATTTTTAAAAGTTTGTATTTTTATTTTGAAAAGATAAAGTTGTTAAGTATATTTAATGAGATTTATTGATATGTGAGATTTTATCTAAAAGTGTCTTCTAATTTGAAATGGAGGAAGTATAAGATAATAAAATATAAACTTACTCCATAAAAAATAGACTAAATGAGTTGACATTAAATGCCATTTTTTTAGATTATTTTAAGAAGTCACTTTGAATAATTTTTAAAAATAATCTAATGAGGTAGATAAAAGATAGTGTTTTAAAGATGTGAGATAGGCGAAGGTATTATAAAATTTTAAAATAATAAAATAATAAATTATTTTTATAAAACAAAAATCAAGATAGATATCATAAAATTTATAAATAACTAATTAATAATTATTTTTTTATTATTGTGATCAAAGACAAAATAATATCTACTTTTTATAAAATCTCAACATAATAAACCTCTTTTTATAAAATTTTTAAACTATTTAAAAATTACTTATTTTTAATTTTAAACAAATGGATCCTAAATTTATTTCGATGATTTCACATAAGAAATAGTTATGAATAAATTGATCCAATCTTAGAAAACTCGAGCTAAATGTTAAAAAAATTACATGAATATTTAAAATAAGAAGAGTGTCAAATATTAATGAGACAAAGAATGTCAAATTCCTCCGTTGATGTGAGGTTATTATTAGTAAATAATTTATAAATATTTTTATAATCACTTTTTGTGTCGGACACTTGCATTAGTTTTGATGAGTCTCAAGAAAGATAAAAATCTAATTTAACATGAAACGATTGGATAATTTAGTAAACATACCTTTTAAAACATTGCAGTGCAAAAGCCTCAAGAAAACAATACCACAAAAACCTTGGGCCTTCTTTTCGCCAAACAGATTATAAACTTTGGGCCGTAAGCCCAAAATTAAAGGGCTTTTATGTTATTTAGGGAAATTAGGGTTTTGCTATCGTCTCTCCGGGTAAAACACATAAAAGCCCCGGAAACCCGGTTGTGCGGCTTCTTCTTCAGTCTGCTTGCTTCGTTCTTCTGCATCTCAGTTGAAAGCTTCAGGCTTTTGAGCTGAGATCATCAGAAACTTCTCGGAATCATGGCAGCCTCTACTACAACCTCCGCGCCGCCGCGCCAGCTATCCCCGAAGGAGGCTGATATCCAGATGATGTTAGCCGCGGAGGTTCACCTTGGGACCAAAAACTGTAACTTCCAAATGGAACGATACGTCTTCAAGCGTCGCAACGATGGTACGTTTTGCATTCAGGGATCTCCCTTGCTTACTCTTGTATGAATTATTTTTGGGCTAAAAAAATAAAAATAAAAGAGATAACTCATTTTATGCATCGAAGTTCTATGTCACAGTACTCTGTCAAGATGCGCATTGTATACTTTCCTGAATTTTTATTTTTCTTCGTATTATTGCCAGGATATATTTTTGGGCCCATGTAAATGAAAATGTGGATGCATAATCTTGACTTAGATATTATAATTTTAGATTGTAAGTAGCTTCAGTGTGGTCAGTGACATTTTCATGCGGTTCGCACTGCAAATCTTGAAAAGCTAATAAATAGCCTAAGATTTGCGCTTCTTCTGGTGACCATACAGATATTTCCCGATCTTTAATGACCTTCATTTAATCGTGCATTTTTATAGGTAGGCTTTATTAGTATTTTTTACTAGCTTTGATATAACCTCTGGCGCAAAAAGATATGAAGCGGTCGAGTTAAGCATGGTCTTGATAATGGTTATCAACTCTTGGTGTGACAATTTAACCTGGCAATTCGCTTTCTATCCAGATTTTAAATGTTTTGATAATTTGGGTTGTATGGTGTTTGCTTTTCTTTATTACTGGCAAATTAGTTTTTTCTACCAGTGATGGATCCTTTCAAAGTTTTGTTGATTTTAGTACTTCTTGGCGCCAGGTATTTACATAATCAACCTTGGGAAGACTTGGGAGAAGCTTCAGCTTGCTGCCAGGGTTATTGTTGCCATAGAGAACCCTCAGGACATTATAGTTCAGTCTGCCAGGCCTTATGGTCAGAGAGCAGTTCTGAAGTTTGCTCAATACACAGGTGCTCATGCGCTTGCTGGAAGGCACACTCCTGGGACATTCACTAACCAGCTTCAAACATCCTATAGTGAGCCTCGCCTTCTCATTCTGACTGATCCAAGAACTGATCATCAGGTAATGACACTTCAGAGTGAGAGTTGTGTGGTTGGAATGGGATGAAAAGTTTCTGTTACAGTTTTCTTGTTGGATGTCAAGTATAACACATTTGTAATCGGTTTCTTTTTATATTTTTTGTTCGCAGCCCATTAAGGAAGCTGCACTTGGAAATATACCAACTATTGCCTTTTGTGACACTGATTCTCCCATGAGATATGTTGACATTGGTATTCCTGCCAACAATAAGGGAAAGCACAGCATAGGTTGTCTCTTTTGGCTATTGGCAAGGATGGTTCTGCAGATGCGGGGCACTATTCGTCCAGGGCTTAAGTGGGACGTGATGGTAATTATTTGTGTTCCTTTGATTTAATACTAGAGGGGAGTTGTGTGATTAATCATGACATGATTCTCTCATCCCCTTTCCTTCATGCATTCTACACTTTTTGGATTTGATTTAAACTGTGAAGGTTTAATATTTTATAAAAGTATTATTGAAATGTTAAAATCTTTAAAATAAAATTAGATGAATCTAAAAGTGTTAAAATTTAATTTTAACTATTCAGGACTAGAAAAAGGAGAGGAATAGGAGGAGTGAAGTGGAGAGAAGCTGAATTGATTGTTTTATAGCTCAAGTAGATGCAAATTGTTGTAATTCTGCATTGTAAATGCCTCATGCTATTCAGTAGGACTATATTTATTGCTATTGAAATCCCTGTCAAGAGGCCTCAAGTTTTACCATTTTCTTCAAGAACTAGTCTTATCAAGAGTTTTCCTTCATGCTTTGTACACGTTATCTTAACCTTTTCTTGGGTAGGTGGATTTATTCTTCTACAGAGAACCTGAGGAGACCAAGCAACAGGAGGAAGATGAAGCACCTGTTGCTCCAGACTTTGCTATTACGGACTTCCATGCTGCTGGCATTGCTACTGATGACCAGTGGCCTGCTGCTATTGATCAGACCTGGACGACTGAGCCAGTTCCACAGCCTATTGCTGCGGCTCCTGGTGTCAATTGGGCTGCAGATGCTGCTGGTAATGTCATTAAGTTAACTATGGTTCTTTGACAATTCTAGTCTAAGTTTTATTAGTACTTCCTCCGATAATTCTAGATTCTGGACAAAGTCTAGCATTGTCGATCATTTTCCCTCAATTTTACTATTGATCTGTGGTTACTGTGGCTTAATGGATTTTGCTGTCTCCTTTATTTTTATTTTTCCAACTTGTCTGAAAAGTTGCTACTTGTATGAGTATCCAATTTTTTGGCAACATGGTACAGTTAGTTCCCTTCATTCCTTTTTGCAACTGACTTCTCCCTGGTTCAACAAAAATGATTACATGTTATGCAGTCATGAAATAGGTTCACATGTGCTTGTTCTATCAGCATTTTAAAGTTTTTGAAGATTATTTATTTGCATATCCTGATTAACGGAAATGCTCCTTGCAGGAGAATGGGGTGAATCTGTGCCAGCTCCCCAACCTCCTCTCCAACAAATTCCTACTCCCGGAATTGAGAATGTGCCTGCCACCGGGTGGGATTAATTTTGATGAGTTTTTGATACTTGTAGTGATTTTGTTGGTTAGGACCGAGGCAAGTCTTGTTTCTGTTGTAGTTCCGATATTTATGTTGAGTATATCTTGTTCTTGAAGTGGTATATCCGCAAGAATTCGTCTTTTTATAGCCTTTTTTTTATTTGTTTGATATGGGTTTATCATTGCGGTCTAAAAGATTGCATCATCGATCATCTTGAATTACTATAGTCGTGACTGTTGAAAGTGGTTAAGAGTAGAATTTGATTTTGTTGCTCAAATGAGTCTAATAGCTATGTAGTATTTTCTTGGGTTAAAGTGCATTTTTGTCTCCTTATTTTCCTTCAAGGTGTGCTGGGTATCTTGTATTAATGAGTAGTAGGGTATTTTTCTTCCTAAATTATTTTCAGAGGAGTAAAAATTCTCTTCCATTAACGGAAGGAGTTATAATTTTGTAATTGTGACAGAAGTTCTTAGTTGTATTTTAGATTTAAATGATAGTTGTTAGGATTTAGCTGTTGGCGTTGGGGAGTGAGTGTTGAAACATATAAATGCCAAGACACTTAATTTGTAATTCTATCTTTAATGATCAGAAGTGTATTACTCAGAATCCCCAGTGTTTCTCAATTTCTCTCAAGCTCTCCTCCCAATCATCCTTGGCTATGGCACACCATTCATTTCAATATGAGGATGAACCTCAGATGTGGTTTCATCATTGGGGAGTATGAGAGAATTCGATAAATTCTTTGATGGCCACACCAGGACATGAAAGTTGTAAGAAAAATACAAGGTTTTTACATATGTGGTTTGGCTTAAACCAGAACTCATGAAGCCAGCGTGTCTCTTCAAACCAAGAATGATGTAAGAAGTTAGAAGTTTTGCAAGAATGCGAGAAATTATACTAACACATGAGATAGATGGAAAAGAAAGCACAAGTACTTCAAGATAAATATGGGTCAATAGCTTTTGGAGAAGCGTGAAGGAAGTACATCTTTACAAGATTGCTGGAATTAGCAAGCCAAGAATGGCATTCAAAATCATGGGGATCTTACAACTTATAACAATTGAAGTTAAAGTAGGATCTTCTTTACTAGAGTAAGAATGGTGAGAATTGTAAGTCCATAATGGCAATGAATTCAAGATTTTTTTTTTTTTGTGCATCCAAAGATGGAATCGGCTCGGGTAATTGCAGACTACCATTACCCTCTCTCGCCATCTTTTCTTCACAAGCTTCGTCACTTTCTGTTCGTCTTGTGTTGTTCAACTTTGTTTCACCACTACCAATTGTTCCTGTTTCTTCATTGCTTTTTATTCAAAGTTCTTCAACAACCTTTAGTTCAGTTTCCTCCTCCAACATCTCTTTCCATCAAGGGTTAGTCGTGGACTATTTTGATCAATTGCAAACTGTATTTTCTTCAAGGTTCTTGCTTTTGGTGCATGTTTCACCCTCATCATTTGGTTCTTATCCACTGTTGTTGTTGGGTTTTCATGGGCACAAGGTTCTTTGTCAAGTTTATTAAAGAAGTTTGTGACTTTTCAAAAGCATTTTTCCTCCCTAATTGTTCAAAGTCTTGAGAGATGCGTGCAAGAATCCTTTATTGTGAAGTCTTCTAGTTCCTTTACCAAGACATCCACAGCATTTGTTAAGCTCATAGACACTGGACAAGTGAAAGTGGGATAGCTAGTGCATATTGCTTTGAAGCTTAGGTGGGGTATTTTTAAGGGGGTCTACTCATGTGGAAGAAAGGGTTCTAGACAGATCCTTTCTAGCTTAAGTAAGTATTGCGTGTTTGGTCTTAGTAGATGCCAGCTATCATTAATAGACAATAGCCAATAGGTGGGTTCAAGTTTTAAGAAAGAAAAAGGAACTCCCTGATTTTTCTATTTAGAAGGTCATGTAGCTAGGTCCTATAAAGGTTAAAAAGTCAAAATCTCATCTGCCATGTAGGTGGAAATTTCAAACGCAAAAGCTATACCTTTTATCTTTTTTGAACCCTTTTGGATTGGGACAATTGCATGGGCCTAATGTCACTCAAAGACATTACAATTAGCCCATTAAAAAATCTATCTTATTGGGTTTTTCTTTATCTTCGACTCCTCCCTATCCACTTGTTTGTTCTTTTATAGTGCAAAGGAGGATTACTAAAAATGCTTTTGGACTCAAGCATGATAATATTGCTTTTGGTTCCATTTATTCAGTGTTAAACAGTGAACAATGACTAGTCTCAACTGTAGCAATTTCCAGAAGTGTGATGCTTATGTTTTTCTTGCTATTGTTGTTTATGACCCTTCAAGGTAAGAGTCTCTTAAAAGGAGGTATTGTTATATCATTGTAATCATGACAGTTATGGTTAGTTATTAGTTGTATTGTTTTTGAGAAATTAGTCATTAATTGATTGAGATGGATTAGAGCCTATAAATGCCATGACATGTACTTGTAAATTTGATGCTTTTAATATCAATAAGATTGAGCATACTATTTAATAAAATATCTCTCTTGTTTCTCAATCTCTCTCTGAATCTCATTTCTCTTTTATGTTCTTCCCTCTTATTCTTCCTATTCCTCTTTCTTTCTAAATTATTTTGATACAATAGTGGTATACTCTCTAATTTCTTCGATTCCTCTCTGTCTTATCTCTCTTGTGTCTATCTCCTTGTTCTCCAATCTCTCCAATCCCTCTCTATTTCTTCTATCACCCAAAATTATTCTCACATACCAGAAGGGGATTTTTGCTTTTTTGAAAAATAATTTAGGAAAAAAAATACCACACTTATTACTACAGATTGTCCAGGACTTTTTAAAAGAAAGTACAAGGATAAAAATATACTTTAACCTAAAAATAAGTAATAGTAACTATTTTAATAGAATAATGATTTTTTTTCTGACAATGATTAAAATGGAACAAACAATTATAACGTGCTTTGCTTGTTCCAATTTAGTCATTGCCACAAAAAAGTAATCATGAATATTTTGGTCATTTTGGTCATTAATATTTACAATACTTAAATTTTAATGAATCAAAAATTTGTATAAGGAAAGTCATTAATGGATCACTAACAGGGGGTTTTACTCCTCTAAAAAATAATCTAGAGAAATAATGCCACACCTTAAGTTGATGCAAGCATGTATGCCAGTGAAAATGAGTATTATATGATGGTTTTGCTCCAGTCATACAGCTTATGGAGTTCTCATGAGTTTATTGCTTTTGAAAAGTCCTAATGTTTTAGCTTGAGTTTTTTCCCCCTTCATGAGCTAAATTGAAATTTGTATATCTATGAGAGGAGAGTAGAACACTATTTATGAGGAGAGTGAAATGGTTAGTTTTGAGCCTCATTAAGGGGAGTAAATAAAAATTAAAAGAGAGCTCTCATGAAAGTTGTTGAACAAAATCTTTTCTTTTGGTTAATAATATTTTTAAAGATTTGTTGGTGATAAAAGATAATAGCGTGCAATCATATTGTTGACCATATGGAGTGATATAAGACTTGTTGTACTTAAGTTAAATTGATAATTATAATACATTGTTCTGTATTCATTTTGATCGAACTGCTGAAAGACTAATTTTTCTTTTTTAAAGGAACAAAGAAAAATAAAAATATAAAATGGTACTCAAATTTGCATCTCATTTTGATGTATCATAAGAATTTAATGTTTAATATAGTTGGAAAAAACTATCCGTTGCATTGGAATGTCGTTGGCGATGTTTTCTCACCTTTTCACTCTTCTTCTTCTCATTTTCATGGTCTCCAGAGTATTAACATGTTTGCTTAATTTCACTGCCTCCAGAGTAAAACATATTAGAGGATCTTTTTGCTATTTTTTTTAAAGGATTAAAATGTTTTGATTTTACACGGGATCAAAGGATTAAAATGCAAATAAGTTTAAATTTAAAATGACAAAAATATTCTTTTTTTTTTTAAAAAAATGTCTACCCCACAGTCTCCGGCGTCAGCCATTAGACTGCCGCTAGGGCCCTCATTGACTACCGGACCACAAGCGGTGGTCACCGGAACTCCAAGTTATGCATAGAGAATCTATTGTTGATAATTGATATGACAATAACATAATAGTACACTTGTTGTACGTTGACTAGAGTAATATTAAGTTTCATTTTGGTATTAAAAATTTTAAGCAAGAATTTAACTATAAGAAAAAATTGATCGTGAAAAATAAAATTTGAATTCGGTGAGTAGTCTAAATACACTCATTCAATAAAAGTCTCACATGACATAATAATAACCTTTTAATTTAATCTAATGATTATAAGAGATTTTATCATATAATATTCAGAAAGTATAAAATTTTAAATTTTTAAAGTGGATTGGATAACGTACGTAAAAAGTATTTTGATTATAAGAATTATTTTGAATTTTTTGAGAGAAATTTATCTTAATAATTTTTAAGTATTGATGAAATCTTAACAGCTGTAATTGAGAAACTTAATGAATGTACTTAAACTATTCACAGAATCTAAATCTATGAAAAATATTATTATCCCTGTTTAATATTATAACACTACTTGAACTATTTATATTTTTGAATGAAGGGAGTATTTAGATTAGCATGTGCCTACATATTTAAACTATTATTTTGTTTATATATTATTGTATGTTCCATGATTCAACCTTTTTATGTTGAAGCAGCCTCGCAGGGCTTCTCTTTTATTATGACATTTGTTCAAGATTATTATGATATTTTATTGTATGCTTTTTATGATTGTAGATTGAATATTATCACAGTAGATCATGTTACTTAAATATAGCTAATGCATATAGTTACAGCTTGTAATTGGTCTCATTTTATCATATGTTTTCAATACCTTAGCTTATTGTTAAAATTAAAGATGAATGCATTTTTTTTTTGCACACAATTGATGGAATATATCTACATATTATGATTATATTTCATAATTTTTAATGGTTCCCTAATATATATATATATATATATATTAACTATTATAATTATAATTATAATTATATTTTATAATTTAGTTCACAGTCTACTTTTACCAATTTTTTTAAAAAGCACATGTATATTTTATTAAATAATTAAAAAAAGTGAGGAAATTTTTTAGTAAAAATATAGTTGTTTATATATAATTATTTTCTTTGTCTCCTCTTCGAACCAAATTAAACAAGAAAACATTATTGGCCAAAAAAAAAGGTAACATTAAAATTCTTCCTTTCTCTTCTCTTCTCTTCCCTTTGAATCAATGGGTTGAAATAATAAAAATAAATAATATTAGAATAATTATATTAATAAAATTTTAATTTTTTAAATTATTTTATATTTTAATATGTTAAATTAATTAAAAAAGTGTCTTATAAAATATAATGGTGGGAGTATAATATTATCTTCTTTGTATATAAGGGGTCATATCCCGTACCAGGGCATCCATTCTCCATTTCCTTGGCCATTAACGGAGATTCAGATCCCATATTCTATCCTCTTCGCCATCTCTTTCTTCGTCCTTGCGATGCTCAAGAAATCAATCTCCAAGAAATCCATCAAAACCCTTCCCCCAGGGCCATTCAAATTACCTATCATTGGAAACTTACACCAACTCGCAGGGTCACCACCCCATCACGCCCTGAAAAATCTAGCAGACAAGTATGGATCCTTCATTCACCTTCAACTTGGAGAGCTGTCCCATGTTGTTGTCTCTTCCACAGAAATTGCCAAACAGATCATGAAGACCCACGACACCACCTTCGCTAATCGACCTGCTCTTGTTGCCACCACACTATTACCAACAACACAGGCATAGCTTTCTCTCCTTATGGAAACTATTGGAGGCAACTTCGAAAGATTTGCACTTTAGAGCTTTTGTCTGCCAAGAGGATCCAAACATTCAGAATCATTAGAGAAGAGGAGGTGTCAGCACTTGTGAAGGATATATCTGAACACGAAGGTTCCGTCATCAATCTCAGCGAGAAGCTTTACGAGCTCACAAATTTTGTCACTGCACAAGCAGCCTTTGGTGCCAAGACCAAGAACGTTGAATAGATCTTATCATTGATGAAGCAGACCCTAGAGTTGGTGAGTGGTTTCTCTGTTGCTGATCTCTTCCCATCGCTCAAAATCCTTCAAGTGATCACTGGCATAAAAGCTAAGATTGATGGAGTGAACAAGGAGCTTGATCTGATGGTCAGGAATATCATCAACGATCATGAAGAAAAGAAGAATCGCAGTCGTATTGGTAACACAGAAGATCTGGTTGATGTTCTCCTAAGGATTCAGAAGGAAAATAACCTTGAAATCCCTTTTACTGAAAGGAACATTAAAGCTATAATAACGGTGGGTAGTATACTATTTTCTTTTTTATTTTCACACACAAACATATCTTTTTGCTCGAGACATCATATTTATATATCTTTGTTTCCAGGATGTTTTCCTTGGCGGATTGAAACATCAGCATCCACAGTAGAGTGGTCAATGTCAGAACTTCTTAGAAATCCCAACAAAATGAAGAAGGCACAAGAAGAGGTAAGAAGGGTTTTCAGAAGCAAAGGATATGCAGATGAATCAGAGTTTCATCATTTGACATATGTATCAGCAGTCATAAAAGAAACTCTGAGGCTACACCCACCTTTGCCACTTTTACTTCCAAGAGAAAACAGTGAGATCTGTGAAATTAATGGTTATGAATTGCCACCTAAGACTAGGGTCATCATCAATGGCTGGACCATTGGAAGAGATCCAAAGTATTTGGTATGAAGCTGAGAAGTTTGAACCAGAAAGATTCCTGAATGCCTCAGTTGATTACAACTTTAACGGCAGAGTTTGAGTACATGTCGTTTGGTTCAGGAAGGAGGGTATGTCCTGGAGTCTCATTTGCTACAGTTCTTATTGAAACCATGCTTCGCAATTTGCTTTACCACTTTGATTGGAAACTTCCTAATGGGTTAGAGCATGAAAAGTTGGACATGACTGAGAAATCCAGTCTTACAGTGAGCAGAAAAAACGATCTTTGCTTGATTCCTATCAGATATTACCCTTAATTATTTGTCTGCGTTAATCATATTATATATCTATGTCACCCTTGTTGAATAATCATATAATTTCAGATTTTTGGAGAATAAAGTTTATTATTTAAACGTCTCCTTTCTTGCTGTGCCATCGATCGTTCACGAAAACTGCATAACTTTATGGAACATCATGTTGAAATATACAGATGACGACAAAGTTAAATAATTAAAAGATTCTAACAATTTTAGGTTTTTTTAAGACACGTACGTTTGATTGTCAATATATAATTAATCAATTTGTCAGTTTAATACGCAAAATTTAGCGATAAAGCTTTAAAATTTCACAAAGATTATACAACACATAATACATACTTCCTAAAACGTTTTTGAGTTTGATTTTAAAATATAAAATATTTTTAATCTTTTGAGTGTAATCATTATCTTTTTTTTAGTGTCCTTATTGATAAATGATTTTATATTTATTATAGGATGTTTACTAGAAATAAATATAAAAAAATCTGATTAATTTAAAAGTAAGGCAACTACTTTATTAGAGGTAAAATTTGATTAAAAATCTCTTATATTTTTTAATAAAAGTATACAAATTTATATGTTATGTCAAACTATCTTATCAAAAAAAGTTATTTTTCTATTCCATCATCCATATCATAAAAAATAAATATGGTCTCAATGATACTTTGAGGATGCTTTTGTTATATTTATTTAAAGGAAAATACCTTTGCATGTCCTTGTAATTCACACTAACTTTTAATCCAGCCCCGATAATTTCAATTGTTTTAGTTGAGCCTTATACTTTCAAATGTCAGGTCGGTAGGTCCCTTAATTCCTTCCCACTAACACCATTTGAAAACTGCTAATATGACTAATGGTGGATGATATGGTTAACAATATCTCCGCACAGGCATCCCGGTGGATTAAATGGTAGACACGGTAGACTAAGGGGGAGGGGGACAACTTGAAAGATCATGCTCGAGCTCGCCTATGGCAGAAGAAATGAAAAATATTGATCGCTCAGCGAATCCCAAACCCAGATTCCAAATCCCCAGATCCATGTCCAATTTCGAACTTTTCCCCATCCTTTACTTCAATCTAAACCAGCCTCGAAAACATAATCTCAATAAGCTCATGCCACCAGCATCGCCTCCTACCGAGTCGATCGAGAAAACAGATATGAGCTCGTTGAGATTGTGTTTTCAAGGCAGGCTCAAGGTGAAGGCTGGGGAAGAGTCCAGAATTGGACACGGATGATGCTCTATGGTTTGGGAATATGGGTACAGGATTCGTTGAGCGATCAATATTTTCTCATTTCTTCCGGGCCATAGGTGAGCTCGAGCTCAATGTTCAAGTTTTCGCCTCCCTTTCAGTCCATCGTTTTGCCATTTAATCCACCTAGATGCTTGTGTGGATGTATTGTTAACCATATGATATCATCCACCATTAGCCATGTCAACAATTTTCAAATGGTGTTAGTGGGGAGGGATTAATAGACCTAGCGTTTGAAAGTATAAGGCTCAATTATTATAGAGGTCTGATAAATAATTAGTGTACATTATAAGGACCTACAAAGGTGTCTTTCCTTTATTTAATGCATATTTTAAGACTCAAACGGGGGATCCAATGGAAATTGATTCAATTCCCTTAATTAGTTGTACCAAATGCCCCTCAATTTTATAAAAAAAAAATTATAAGCAATTATATAAGAAGCGCTTTGGTAAAAAGTAATAGAAAGAATAATATTAAAGTCTCAAAATAATAAATTTATGACAACTAAGTTTCCATCAAAAATTTTTATAAAGTCAATTGTAAATTTTGATTTAAATAGTTATAAATTTAAAATTTTTAATTATAAATAAAATATTTAAATTTTAAGTATAATTCTCAATTTGCAATTGAGATTCCTATTTAAATTAATATTTGTAAAAAAAAATAAAAAATTGTATAAAAACCTAACTGTTATAAATTCTTTATTTTGGAACTATGTTGTTATTCTTCCAAAATTATTAGATATCCGTGGAGATTATTCTCCCAAAATTATATAAGAAGGACACATCATGAATATTATTATTGAAATCTGAGGTCCTCCACGGAACAAGCCGGGAAAATACCACAACAACTTGAGCAATTAAAGCAATAAATAATTATGTTGAGATTCCATATAAAACGATTAAATAGCAGGAAGTTCATTGACAATCAGCAAACACTCCCTTTATTAAAAAATATAAAATATTTTTAATTAAATTTCACCCTCTAATAAAATAATTATTTATTTTTAATTAATCTTATTTTTTATATTTATTTTTATTTAATAAAATATTAAATATAAATTGATTAATTAAATACATTCATTTTTTAAAAAATAATGATTATATTTTTTAAAAAATAAAAATATTTTATATTTTTTAACACACAATCCCTCAAAAACATTTATACTCCCTCTGATTCACTTTATATATTACTTTTAGAAGAATGAAGTATTTCACTTTATAAATTATTAGATTAATAATTATGTTTTATTTAAATAAAATATTTAAAATAATCTTAAAAAGTAAGAGAATAAGAAATAAAAAATAATATTATATAATTTATTTGTTTTTTAAGAATTATATTTGTAATTTTGTAAAATTTTATTCTTTATATTTTTATTATATTAATATTGATAAAATTAATAAAAATAATTTATAAATATGTAAGGAGTATTTTGTAAAACGAGGTAATTGACACTAACATGTCAGTTGTTATAATAATAATAATTATCATTTTATTATGTTGTCAGTGAATCTTGAACTATTAATAGCGTGTCAGGTTTGCCGCAATTGAGACACTGAGTATTTTAAACATCTGGATCCCCTCTTTATTGATGGAGACAGCACATGCTTCTTGACCAGGTTTGCTGAAATGAGACACTGAACATTTAATCTATATATTGAATTTTTTTTATTATTATTATTCATGTTCGTACCCTAATCACCAGTCTTATGTACATCATTTAATGGAGAAAGTGATGGCTAGGTAATGATATTCTTTTCAACCATATATATAAATTATTTTTATTAATTTTAATAATATTAATGTAATAAAAATATAAAAAATAAAAGTAAATAAAATTTTAAACATAACTCTAGACTAAAAAATAAAAAATAAATAATTCATATAATATTATTTTTTTGTCTCCTCTCTTGCTTTTTAATGATAATTTGAAGACTTCAATTTAAAACAATACAATTCTATCAATTAATAATTTATAAAATAAAATAAATTGTACTTTTAAAAAGTGCCAAATATACATGATAGGATGGAGTACTTAAAACAAGAAAATAATTATTCAGATTCGTAAAGAAGAAAAGAAAATAAGATCAAATAAAATGAAAAAAAAAAAATCAATATCCTTTTACACTCCATATTCTTCATCCAAACTTATAATCATATAAGTAATGTTTAAATTATATATGCATCCCACACATTCAATTCATAAGTCAACAATCCATACACTACAGTTTAATTGTTTTTAACTTTTTTTTAATATGTAAAGGACATTTATAAAAACAAAGAAAGAAAATCCAAAGCAATATGGTGTCATTAAAAAAAAAAAAGATCATGGATACAGAGAGATTCAAACAATTGGATCACCACTTTTAATCGATTTGAGGAGGCCAATTCAATTAAATTTACCAACATTACTTTAATCCCATGATTTTTTTTTTTTATATCCAAGTCAACATGTACCTCCTTTCTAGCCTAATCCGTTGAATTGATCAGTTTAGTATAGTCCTCTTTAACATTGGTTCAAATATGTTATAGCATATGCATCTATTGTTCATTTGGCAACATGTGGGGACAATTATAATTTTCAAAATTTCACTTTTCAATTCTTTAAAATACTATCTCATGTGTTTGGAAAATATATATCATCTCATTTTATCCCTTTTATTTTATTTTATTTTTTAATTTCATTTTATCTCTCATTCTTCTTCATGGTAGGACGTCCCAGACTAAGATATAAAAAAATTATTACTTTAGAAACTACACAAGTGATATATATATATATATATATATATTTTGTATGGGATAATACTGAGTAAAATGATGTTGATGTATTTAAGGATAGACAGAAGGAAAATAGTAAATAAATGTAGTGATGCATAGATGCCACATGCAACTATATCCTCTTGTGGCATCCCTCAAGACATATCATATTCTAAGTTTTATTTAAGGTATTATTATTCCATATGCATGTCTTCCAGTAACATATATAGCATATTTTTTATTTAGAAATAAAATTAATTTAGCTCGTTTGATATTTGATATGGATTGGCAGAAAAATTCCTCCTTACTCGCGCATAAAAAAATGAAGTTAACTATTTTTTCTTGTAGAATATATAATCTTTCTAAAAAATTTAAAGAAAAATTGATCAAAAATCCCTCACCAGTCAATTTATTGCTCTACGATATTTGGAATCTTTGGAAGGACCGTGATCCTTTGGTGTCAATATTTGAGAAGAGTAAATGACTTCAATGCCCTTAATAATAATAATAATAATAAAAGGAAATGACCAAGGTCATTCAATGTCAATTTTTGGAAAATTTAAAGGATCAAAGTTCTTTGGAGTTAATATTTCGGAACGTTAAATTTCTTTATGGAAGAAAATGTGCACCAATAAAATATATTTGCATATTATGGAAGATGCATTGCACCTGATGACATATGCCACCTTGTGACAGAATTTTGCATTTGATAAAATTTATTGCATATCTAATGATTTTAGCATCATGTCAGGGGCATTACTATGAAAGAAATCAGTTTATGTGGGAAAGTGTTATATACTGACACATGAGGGGAGAATATTTTTCATGATATCGATGATGCATTTCTGAATATATCTTCAATCTTCATAACAATATTCATGGATATTTAAATATATCTTCAATTTTCATGAAATGAAATTGGACATTCTGAAATTTCTTTTTCGTTTTCCATGATGATGATTCTGTACATTCAAACATATCTTCAATTTTCATAAAAACAGAATTGGATACTCTAGAAAATGCACATTCTGGGAAGATGAACTATGGGTATTTTGGCAATCTAACAATCAACCTTTATTCTTCTAAAGG